AAAGTTCCTCGGGAAGAATTTTTACGGGAAATTATCAAACGAACAGAGACGTAACAATATTTATAACGACATTAGACCAGTTATTTGTCACATGGGTATACTTCATGGACTGCCGAAGATTCACATATGTGATTGGGCCAGTAGATCTATTGTTAGGTTACTTCAAGTACATACAAACTGCATAAATCCTTATGTTATTTTTAACTGAATATATTTTGAATAGCTACACAGTGAAAAATAGCTTTGTTTTTTCTGATAATGTTAGGAACTTGGGATTTTATGTGGAAGTTTATTTAGCTCTAGATATTAAATCTCTGTTCACTACCCTTTTCTCAGATGAGACAATTAATTTCCCTATTAATCTTGTTTTCAATGAATATGTTAATGGACTTAGTAGACAATCTTTCAGATTACTGATGGAGTTTTTCTCATATCGATGTGAATGTTATAAATAGATTGATGTAGCAAATATCAAATTGTTAGTGTTAAACGTGCTCACATCCTATAATAAAAAGTCTCCTCCTAACTGTTTTAACATATTTTGTATAGATTTTTCTGTTTATCATATCTCTATTATGGATAGTGTATTTTATTTTTGGAACATTAACTATGTTGTGATCTAAAAACTAAATAGTTCTTATCATTAGAAGAAATGTCATGTCCATGTACTTAAGTTTTGAATGAATAAAACGTTCCCTGTTTTAGAAGTGTATTTTTATTATAGGGAGATAAATATAAAAGAAAAGACTACAAGTTTTCTAAAAATTATATATTTTTTATTTTCAAAAGCAGTTCATCATCACTTATCTGTTGTTGCTATGCGGTTCGGCTTTTCGTAGTTTTGTACAGGCAAAAAGTAAATTTTAACATTGAAAAATTAGGAATACTTTATCATTTTTATACTATACATATTTGATGCTCCCCAGTGGCACAGCGGTATGTCTGCCGACTTACAACGCTAGAAACCGGGTTTCGATACCCGTGGTGGACAGAGCACAGATAGCCCATTGTGTAGCTTTGTGCATAAAATCAAACAAACGTAATTGATATAGGAAGAAAAAAATCTCTTCGGGCAATAAAATTACCGTTATATTTGTCAACAACACAAAAAGAAAATGCTTTTAATTTTAATGCTTACATAATGAAATATTATTATTTTATGAACAATATTATACCTGACATACACCAAAATCTCAGTTTTCTAATATAAATAGCAAACGTAAAATGGAGAATAATGACAAACCTTAAAAACTACAAAAAATGTAAAATTGGAATTGTAAAAAAACAATACAATAAAGCAATGTTTCGTCGTTGTTAAAGCGACAGCACCTCGTGTTGACACGTTACAAATGGCGAAATATTGTTTAATTTTATTATTATTTTTCAAATCCCATATCAGCTGTTAATACATTTTTAGTATACGGGATACCTCCGTTATTTGCAATTAGGAGTCTGGTAAGTTAAAGATTTAATCTATTTTTATATGTCTGTTTGATTGTTTGTAGTTAGGCACAAAGCTATACAATGGGATATCTCTGCTGTGCTGTGCCAACCACGCGTATCGGAACACGGTCTTTAGCGCTATAAGTCCGCAGACTTACCATGTGCCACATTAGGAGGTTTTATATATGTTTATATAGTGTTTTTCATTTTATATTGTTAGAAATATATGCTTTTATCAGAATAAAATAACTTTTTAAATAAAGTGCACAAAGTTGATTCGATTAACCTCACTCAAGAAATATAGATAATATACATCTTGTTTGACACGTAAATTATCACGAAAACATCGATTTCCTGTAATAACATTTTTTTTTTCTGTCTTAAGACCACCATAGCGCATTTCCTGATTAAAGCTCCCCACGCGCATACTCAAGTTATTCTATTCGGTCCGGAGTGCGCAACACGTGACAGTAAAACAGACTGAGGCAAACGAACTGGCAAATAGAAAAGGTAAGTCCCATCACCATTGTATTTTACCGTAATTACTGTTTCTTCCCGGAACATCGGCAGTCGGAAGTTTCTTCTGGGAAGACTGAGCTAAATATACGAGGTTTAAGTGTTACTACATTTCAGAATCCAGTTCTTCTTCAACTTATTATACAGAAAATATCCGTTTATACTAGAATTGGTGGGACTAGGCAGTTTACAAGAATGATTAAACAACTGGAAACACTTAATAATGATTCACTGAATGAGCTTCTTTTGGTGGATGTTAATAACACCTTGCTTGATCAAAACTTCAGTAATACCGTTAGACACCAGCAGAGTTTGTACGACCAGCCGGTAATTAAGAGCGTCCGGGTCACTACGCTCTGTGTTCTAGCAGTTTTGGGATTTATAGGAAACTTAGTCGTGCTTTTTTGGTTGTGGAACCATCGGGCCAGAAAATCACGTGTACTACGACTTTTCCTTAACCTGACAATAGCAGATGTGCTAGTAACAGTGTGTGCTACTGGTCCCCAGCTGGTGTGGGAGTATTATGGTCGAGAATGGAGGGCAGGGGATGTTGTTTGTCGATTGGTGAAGTTCCTGCAGACATTCTCTATCTGCGCTTCCAACTATCTTATCGTAGCCATCGCTTTAGACCGTTACAAGGCTATCCGAAGACCGCTGTCTCCTCCGTGGAAGGTATGATCACTTTAGAAAGTTAATGAGGCTAAGAAAGTAAATAAAGTAAAAAATAAAGCTTATTATAGTAAAGTCATGCTTATAACTTCGGTATTCTGTCATTTGATATTTATCATAGAGTAAAGAAAGCAAAATGTATGACTTATTGTAGTAAAATCAGGTAAGACACTTGATAAAGAAACAAACCAGTCAAGGACATTCGAAGCTTTTTAGGTTTTTTAGTGTGATAGTGATAATGAAATACTTTATGACAAAAAGAGTTTTCAAATCATTTTAAAACAGAATTAGTTACATCAAAAAACTTGAATTGTATATCATTTACACCAACTGTATTTCATTTTGTAACCGAAAAGTTTATAAATTAATCTGTATTAACAAGTCCTATTCATAAGGTCGTTTTCTTTTTTAATTATTTATTTCAGAATTTAGAAACCGAAGGAGTGGAAAAATTAATATCCTGAAAAATAGCTAATGTTAAATAGATGTTTTAGTGTTCACAACGTTAAAAAGAAAGGGTGTCCCAGCTCGAAACGTTTCTGAACATTATAACCTCTATCAGCCATTTTTCGCGGTATAACTTCTTTAGTTTCGATTTTATCCTAACACAGTTTGTTTAGCTGACTTATTTCAAAACTTAGTTGATTAGAACAAGATAAGCAAACTGTACACTTATATTCTAAAAGTTATTAATATTCTGAAATCCCAGTAAGGTTTCTGCAGTAAGTGTTAAGGTTATATTACTGGATTATACGTATTTTCATGTTGTTTTTTATTAAATTGCATTAGAGGTTTGGTAAAATAAAATTACTATCATTTTAGATAAATACATAAAAATAATTTCGCAACCACGTAACTGAAATGTATTTAAACAAAGAGTCGGAGCACAATAATGTCAACGATTCTTGAAACAAATTCATTCCATTAATGTATTACGAGTATCAACATAGTTTAACGTACTTACCGATATGGATTCAAAATATTTTCTGATATACTTATAAAAAAACAATTTAAGTAATCTCAGTAATAATTTAGTCTATGTTTAATATTTACGCACACACGTATTTGACTAGTATGTGATTCATGCCATTATTGCTAACAGTGCATTTATGGAAAACAAATTTGTTTAACACCTTATTACTCTATCTAATCAACAAACTAAGAAAAAAATAACTATTTTCATAATAAACCAGAAAATATAGTATAATTTTACAGAATTTTTAATATTGTTAATCTTAGTGTCTACCAACACATATAACAAAATCGCGTTTACATTATTACGCATATTAAAGTGAATTATTTGAAAGTACACACATGATTTTAAAGCTATGGAGTAGAAAATATATAAAGCTAGTCCAATATTTCACTGGTAAAAGATTAAAGTTTTTGTTATAAATGTTATTCATTATAAAGTTACGTTTTCTCACTATCAAAAACTACATTGAGTGGGCACAAGTAAATAGACACCTAATTTTTCGTCATTTAACTGATTTATGCTAACTAATTTGTGTTCACAGAGCACCATATAAATGAAAATGGTCCGCACACTAATTATCTTGTGCTATAATATGCTTAGAACTCAAGGTTCTCTCGAATTGTCAGATTTTGTTAGAGGAAGGATAGTTGGTCAAGCAGATGGTGGAATAATCAGCGGCAAATTTCGCAGAATTTGGGAATCATCGTGCAGTTCAGGAACCACGGCAAGGAAACAACTGAGCAGAGTCCGGGTCGTCCTGGAGAGGACAAAAAGGGCTGTCAAGAGGAGCATCGAAATGGATCCCAGATTAACGACTGCAGAAGTGACCAAAGTTGGTGGGATGAGCCCGAAATCTGTTCAACCGATTTTCCACAGATTGGGTTATCGTTGCAGAGCAGCTAGACGGAAGCCCTTATTAAGACTTGCCAACAGAGTCAGACGAAAGAAGTGGG